TAATGACCCATCCTGAGTCCAAGCTCACTCTCTAGCTGCACAAGTCCATTCACCTCCCACAGACATCAATTAAGTGCGCGGCAACATCCTTTCTATTCAAAGTTAGGTTGTATCCTTCTTCATTTCAAGCAGCTCCTTTCCGTTATATCAAATCTCCTGCCGCCTAATAGCCCATACTTCAAATAAATCCGTAGGCCCAAATCACCAGTCACTAAAATTCCCAAGTCACTTCAAACTCTCCCACTTTGGCAAAACTCACCCCTTTAGTCGACTACTCGACCTTTGCTTCTTGTACATGGCCTTCTAGAAATATTAATCACCGCCTGAAACTCCCCACATGTCCTTCCTCATCCTTTGCTGCTCAGTTGTTGCCTTAAATAAAATCTATCTTCGTGGCACTTGAACCCACAATTGTTGCTAACTTTAAACCTTTCCGAAGATCATCTTCCTCGAACCGTCGACATTAGGAACACTGATTCAATCCTGCACTACCGCACCCCGCGATATCTGACAGCGCATCTTCAATACCATTTCACGATATCTTACCCCAAAGACGAATTGTAGAAGATCATAACACCGGCGAACCGAGTACGTTCAATTAGGACAACGACACCTTATCATAGAGGAAAACTCTACCACGCTCGCAAATAACAAGTCTTGTTACTCCATCAGCCCACATCTGACCATTCTTAGTCCGATTGTCCTTCCCTTGACGGGAATAAAATTCTGAATCTCTAGATCATGCACTGGGTAAACCTCCCTTCAAGTCATTCACTGCCCCGACACGTAGGCAAACATCCTACCATCATATCAATACTGCGGAACAATCGTTCATAGCATCAGGGCAACTTGTGCCTAGCCTCAGAGCTCCCAAAAGTACCGCTACTGAGCTGAAACGACAGAACATCCTTCCACAAGGCGACGATATTAGCTCAGACAACTATGCAGGGAGAAACATCCCGCACCAAATCGGTAGTACCATTACAATTCTTCAATTCTCGATTCATAATGAGCGGTTCGCGTCGCATAAGATTGAATAGGAAGGAATTAAATACATAAGCCTCCAGGGATCAAATCGCACGATGAGGAATCAAGAAGGGAAGTACTCCTAACAGTCCAGCAGCCTCCCGAGGATAAGTACAGACGTCTCCGTACCGATCTGCGAGACTCTACTAGACTTGCTCATGACTCGTGAGACCTACGGGAACTAGTGCTCTGATACCATGTTGTCATGATCCAAATTCCACTAAAGGTCATGATGGCGCCGGACACCACTGTCAGGCAAGCCAACCCCAAAATACTTAATTAAATTATCATTTTAATACTCTTGAAAACTATGACTTTCCTTCAACTTTACCAATAAAAAGACAATCGCTTCAATTCAAATTAAATGATAAGCAATTTATACAAAATACTTCATAACCATCACAGAAACCCGTGTCACAAGTGCATGAGCAATTCTAAGAAAAATCGAATAAAGTACAACAACTGTCCGGAATACAAATTGGACAGAGAATAAATAAAATTCTGAGAGAGACTATACTAGCTGCGGGTCGCCTCGGGTAATGCAGCTCACCTAGTCCCAGTATCACCCATGCTGCTACGCCCTGTCGGCCACTAGTAGTACATGTGCCTGTGCAACAAAAATGCACAAAAGTATAGTATGAGTACAAAAACAACATATACTCAGTAAGTATCCCGCCTAATCTCGAAGAAGTAGAGATGAGATGGCAACTTCGACACTTACTAAAGGTCCAGTAATAATATTATTAATGCGATGACTCACGGATTTATTAAGAACAACAGTAAAATTTATATGAGCCACTAAACAGGTGCAAGTTCCTTTTTATTTAAAGTCTCCGGATTCACAATCCATTAATTAATAATTATCTCAAGTCGGGGAGAGCAGACAACAATATCAATAAATCTCAAGGCAAGCAATACAAGCATGCGCAATTCATGCCGAGGTCGTATGGCCCGATCCAACAGAAATATAAATTGTGCACTGCCGAGGGTCGAGCGGTACGAACTATAGATGCATCTATTACCCCGCTCGCGAATCATACATGCGACGCAGGTACACATAGAAATACATGCTCAAACAACAAATTAAGAATTTATCGGGGAACATTTATCCAAATAAAAGCCAATTCTCTTTTAATGATTTAAGAAAAAGAAGTTTAGTCCTCTTAGAAATTCATTTAACAATTCGATAAGATTTAAGAAATTCAACTGTCAATAAGATCACAGATATTCCAAGTATAGCATGTTTTTTGGGTACTAGACTACCCGGACTTACACATATTAGTAGCCACGCACGGACTGTCGTCACCTCGTGCGTACGTAGCCCCCACAATAGGAGCACATAACCAATTATTTCACCTATGGGGACAATTCCCTCTTACAAGGTTAGAAAAGAGACTCACCTCGCTCCAATGTGCACTTCCAATACCAAGAATGAGCCCGAACCCTCAAATTGGAGCCGAACAATTCCAAACTAGATAAACGAGGTAGGAACTAGTCAATATAAGCTTACAAGATCATATTCTAACTATTTAAGCAATTTCCCACCCTTAAACATAATTTTCCTAAGATTCGACCCCGGGCCCACGTGCCCGGATTCCTAAATTTTTCAAGAGAAGTTGTTCTTCATAACCCAAGGACCAATAGCATATGACTTCTAATTCATTTCATAAAAAATTTCGTGGTTAAATCTAACTTTTATTAAAACCCTAGGTTTTTGCTCTAACCCCATGATTTCACCTTAATACTAGTGTTTAATCTACCTAAGACATAATTATTAAACTAGAAATAGGTAGAACACACTTACCTCAAGATGCTAGGTGAAGTTCTTCTCTCAAAAGCTCTAAAATCGCCCAATGGAGGAGTGAAAAAGTGATAAAAATGACTTAGAACCCGTATTAAATGAACCTCACTGCCTCAGCGATTTCCGCATCTGCGGTCTGCGAGAAATGGACCGCATCTGTGAAATGGGCCAAAAGAGCTGGGACTGCTTCTGCGGTCTCGAGGCCGCATCTGCGGAGCCGCTTCTGCGGTTTCTGGCCTGGCCTGCCCTGGGCCGCTTCTACGATGGAAGGACAGCTTCTGCGGTCTCGCACCTACGGTCCACCAACCGCAGGTGCGGTTATGACGGAAGCAGCAGCTTCAGCTCTTCTAAAATTTTTATTTTCGATCCGTTAACCACCCGGAATCCACCCGAGGCCCCCGGGACCCCAACCAACCATATCAACCAGTCCCAAAACACGTTACGGACTTGCTCGAGGCCTCAAATCATATCAAACAACACTAAAACCTCGAATCGACCTCCAATCCAAGCTTTATGAACTTTAGAATTTCAAACTTCTACTTTTGATGTTTAAACCTACTAAATTACGTCCGATTGACTTTAAATTTTGTATGCAAGTCATATTCGACATTACGGACCTACTCCAACTTTCAGAATTAGATTCCGACCCCGATATCAAAAAGTCCACCTCCGGTCAAATTTCTCAAAAACATTCAAAATTCTATCCTTAACCAAATAGCTTCAAAATGCTACACGGACATCCGAATTCACTTCCGATCGTGCTCCCAACTCCAGAATCACCATACGGAGCTACTCCCAGACTCGAAATCCCAAACGGACATCGATAACACTGAAATGCACTTCAACCCAAACTTATGAAATTTCTTCCAAAATGCTAACTTCCACAATAGGCGCCAAAACGCTCCCGGGTCATCCAAAACCCGATCCGGGCATACACCCAAGTCCGAAATCATCATACGAACCTGCTGGAGCCTTTGAATCCCAATTTCGAGGTCGTTTACTCAAAAATTCAATCCTAGTTGATTCTTCCAACTTAAAGCTTCCGAAATGAAAATCCTCCTTCCGAATCAACCCCGAACTTCCCGAAATTTAATTGCGACTACGCGTACAAGTCATAATGCCTGAATGGAAGCTGCTCATGGCCTCAAACTGCTAAACGGTGCACTAGAGCTCAAAACGACCGGTCGGGTCGTTACAAAGGACATGTAGTCCTGAAGTCCTGAAGTTAAGTTCAAAAGTTAAGGACATGAGCAAAAGGGTATTTTCGTCTGTTAAAGTTTATTAAAGTAGTGGCTAAAGACTAAAGACATTTTAAACAGTGGCTTAAAAGTGAATACATGTGTTATTAGTGGCTAACCGTGCACTTCCCCCTCATAGATACTAGTATAATGTATAATTTAGTAGGATAATCTACGCGGTAAGCCCATTGAAAACATCAGTTAACACCATATACAATTAAAATATTTATTTTACTCTGTATACCTACTTTATAAAATTATTCTACCATGTATACCTGCTGTATTCTAAAATATAATACTGTATATTCCAAATTAGAATATTGTGATATATCTAATTTGGATATTCTATTCCAAATTAGAATACTGTAGCATGTTTAGTTTGAATATTGTATTTCAAATTAAAAATTATTGTATATTTGCATTGGATACTGTATTCCAAATTAAAATGTTGTAGTATATTTGGTTTTGATACTGTATTCCAAATTAGAATACTGTAGTATATTTTGTTAGAATATATTGTATCCCAAATTAGAATACTGTAGCATGTTTAGTTTGAATATTTGGATATTGTATTCTTCATTAGAATTTTAGAGTTAGCTAGGTTTGGATTTTTCAAATTAGAATATTGTGTATCTTTAGTTTGAATAATATATTCCAAATTAAAAAAATATGGTCTGGTTAATTAGAAAATTATATTCCAAATTAAAATATATGGTAAGTGTGGTTTGAATTGTATTCCAAAATAGAATATCGTGATATATTTTAGAATATATGGAGATATACCGTATAATATTTTGGGGATATTTGATATAATTTCAAAAATTAGGTATATCACGTAACTTCCCCAATTTAGTACCTTGTAAAGTTTCCTTTCTACGACAATCTGGAAAAGGAGTCCATCTAAAATAGCCCGTTACAAATAGGCCCAATAAAAATAGTTTACGGATAAGTCGTTGAGGATCTGTCAGTTCACGTGTTTGTCACAGCGTGTAGTCGGAAATGGAATCTCGCAGTTTCCGCCGTCAATCTTCCTCCGGCGGAATCTCCGATTATGTATCTTCTCTGATCTCCGGTAAGCTCGCTTTTTCTCTTCACATTCTATTTTGTTTTACGTATTTGTCACGAGAATTGAAATCCTTGCACGTTATCAATTCGCAGTTAAAATTGCATTTAGTCCAAACTAGTGGTATATGTCATTTTCCGAACTTTTACAAATTTTATTTCTTCTCCATTAGCAAATTTAGATTTACCATGGACTCATAGTTATTGCGTGAAATAAATTTGAGCGTTCAATGAGCAACTCTGTGTGTGTGTGCGCGCAGCACACTTGCCAGTAACTTTGCCAACAAAATATTAGACATCTGGGAAGAAAAATCGCCTAGTGTTTTTGCATCTGTTGGAATTTTCTGCTACTATTTTCTTTTTCCAAATGTAGGTTCTGAATTTTGATAAGCCACATTAATCAGCTCTTTAGTTTCCTTTTTGAGTTTTGATGGTCGGATCATAAATACGAGACTTCCATGAATCTCTGGTTACGTGTTCTATGCCGAAAGTTATATGACATCAAGCGCATAATGCATAGCAAAAAAGCGCCAGTCACTATCTGAATGGTGAGTATTACACCAATAATTTACGACTGAATGAAGGGAGAGGAGAATTTGACAGAATTATTGAAATATTTCTGGTCGTTAAGATTGTCGAGAAGGTGTTGGATGCATTTTGCAGGGCCCTCTTCTGAAGAGCCCTCAAGTTTTTGTGAAGCTAAGGAAGGTCTTTACCTATTGGAGCCTTATAGGACACTGTCTAAGGATCACTCTACCAAGACTCCCTTTTCATTTTTTAAGAGTTGTGTTTCTAGTTTAGTTTCAGTACCTTTACCAATTTCAGCAAAAACAGATTATGATGTAAGGTTATGGCATGTTTAGACTTGGGCATTTGCCTTTCAATGCAATGAAATATATTAGTTCCACTTCATTCTCATCTAATTCTCATTGTTCTTGTGATGTATGTCCTTTGGCTAGACAGTCCAGATTACCCCTCCCTTTCAGTCACATCAAAACCAAAGGCATATTTGACCTATTTCACATTGATACTTGGGGTCCTTACAAAACCCCTACTTACAATGGATATAAATACTTTCTAACAATTGTCGATGATTTCAGTTGGGCAACTTGGACCTACTTGCTAAGTACTATGAGCAATGCTTTTTCAGTCTTGAAATGGTTTTTGAGCATGGTGGAAAGACAATTTGGCACCAAAGTTAAAATTATAAGGTCTGATAATGCCATAGAATTAGGTACAGGGACAACAACTTCTATTTTCCTCAAATCACAGGGTATTTTACATCAAACCTCATGTGTGGGTACCCCTCAACAAAATGGTATTGTCGAATGGAAGCATAGACACCTATTGGAGATTTCTAGGGCACTATTGTTCCAATCAAAGTTGCCTATTCGTTATTGGGGAGAATGTATTCTCACTGCTACTTTCCTCATAAACAAATTTCCTTCTAGAGTTCTACAAGGGAAGACTCCCTTTGAATTGCTTTTCAATCCGAAACCTTCCGATCATTTTCTAAGATGCTTTGGATGTTTATGTTATGCCTCCATATTATCTCATCACAGGGGTAAATTTGAACCTAGGGCAAGGGCTTGTGTGTTTCTGGGATATCCTAGTGGCCAAAAAGGTTATAAACTTCTGGCTTTAGACACTAAAAAGGTCTTTGTATCTAGGGATGTCCATTTTCATGAAAACATTTATCCCTTTTCCTTCGATTTTTGTACCTCCCCTCCTTTATTTCCCCTTACTTCTCCCATAGCTGAACCTTCTACAACTACCATATCTACTGTTTCACATCCCAATATGCCTGCTCCTGCACCAACATCTCCTACCCCTCCTACTCCTATTTTATCTCATTCTCCGGTGCCTTCTTCAACTTCCTCATCCTTTACCCCTATGTCTTCCCCTGCTCCTCCCTCTTCTACTCCCCCATCCCTTTGAGAAGATCTGCCAGAACCAACCTAGGCACTTAACTTAGTTATCTCAAGGACTACATTTGTAACAATGTCTATGTCACTGATTTAATCAACTCTTGTCTTGTCACACCCTCTTCTTCTCAAACTCTTGCCTTCGCTGCGCTATCCCCACATAACCAACATCTCTTTCACTCTCTTCCTACTATCACAGAACCTACAAGCTACATCCAAGCTTGTTCTCATTCAGGTTGGAAGCAAGCTATGGACACAGAAATAGGTGCCTTAGAGCCCGTTTGGATTAGCTTATTTTAAGTGCTTTTAAGCCAAGATAGCTTTTAAGCCGTTTTGTAGTGTTTGGATAAAGTAAAAAAAAATGCTTTTAAGCACTTGTTTTTAAGATAAAATGACAAAAATAAGCCAAAAGCCAAAAGCTAAAATTCCTAACTTATGGCTTTTGGCTTAAAAGTCACTTACAACAAGCCCGTCCAAACGGGCTCTTAGAGGCAAATCAAACATGGGAGGTTGTGCTTCTTCCATCTGGGAAGAAAGCTTTGCCCTGTAAATGGGTTTACAAGGTCAAATAGCATGCTGATGGTAGTATTGAAAGGCTAAAAGCTCGTTTAGTTATCAGAGGAGACATTCAAAGGGAGGGCATCGACTACACCAAAACTTTCTCTCCGATGATCAAAGTGACCACCATCTGATGTCTATTATCTATTGCTGTCAAGAAAGGGTGGGATGTTTCACAATTTGATGTAAACAATGCGTTTCTACATGGCGACCTGCAAGAGGAAGTATACATGAAGTTCCCTGCAGGTCTGACCCCTCCTAGTCCTCATCATGTTTGCAAGTTACAGAAATCACTTTATGGCCTCAAACAAGCCTCAAGGCAGTGGTATGCCAGGCTTGCTGGGGCTCTCAGTTTCAAAGGGTTTTCCTCTTCTCTTAATGATTATTCTTTGTTTTTTAAGAAGACAGGGGGATTTCGTTTCTATTGTTGCAGTTTACGTTGATGATATCTTAATTACTGGCAATCATCCTACTGAATTAGCAGACCTCAAGGCTTTTCTTCATTCAGAATTCAAAATTAAAGATTTTGGATTAATACACTACTTCCTAGGCATGGAAATCTTACGAGAACAAGATGGTTTTATCATTACTCAGAAGAAATTTACAGAGGACTTACTATCTGAGTTTGATTGCTCTCATCTTCCCATGGTGTGTTCTCCACTTGATCCTTCTTTCAAACTAACAGCTGGCTCCAGTTCACTCCTCGCAGATGCTTCCATTTATCGGTGTCTTGTTGGCAAGTTAAATTGCTTGACACAAACAAGACCCGACCTTTCTTTTGCTGTTTTGACTCTAAGTCAATACATGCAAAAGCCTTGTCTTGAACATTTCACAGTAGCTCTCTGAGTTCTTCGTTATCTCCGTTCAAATCTAGGGCAGGGGCTGCTTTTGAATTCAAATCCCTCTCTTTCTCTTTTGGCTTTTTGCGACGCTGACTGGGCCTCTTGCCGTGATACTCGCCGGTCCATCAGTAGGTTCTTTATCAGCCTAGAGGGTTCTCCGGTCTCATGGAAATCCAAAAAGCAAGCTTTCATTTCCCTTTCCTCCGCCGAGGCTGAGTATCGTTCCATGCGGCGTTTAGTGGCGGAGCTCACTTGGCTGACTCGCCTTCTTGCAGATCTGTCTATACCACCCCCAATTCCGGTTCTTATTTTTCCGATAGTCAGGCGGCCATACATATTGCACGAAAGCCTGTATTCCGCGAACGGACGAAACATGTGGAACTTGGCTGTCACTTTGTGAGACAGCAATTTCTGTCTGATCTCATCTCCCTTTCGTTTTTGCCTTCAAAATCACAGCTTGCTGGTTTGTTTACCAAACCCCTTTCTGGGCCTTCACATCGATCGATTCTTGGCAAGTTGGGTCTCTCTTCGTTCCCCTCCAACTTGAGGGGGGATGTTGGGAATCGATCTCTTGATTCCATCCTAAATGTGTTTTGATTCATGAAGAAGAGAAGAAGAAGAAAGCAAATGAAGAAGAGAAGAGACGTTCAGAACATTTGGCGGAGAAAACAAATGTCTTTCAATCTGGTCTCAAAAGGAAATAAAGGAATGAGACATGTGTCCCCATCTCAAGCAACAAAGACATTTATGATGGATTAAATCCTGGTCGTTCATTTGAGACTAATGAAGAGCTTCACAATTCTGGAAGCTTCTCACACGGATAGGAAAATCCACACATATAGGGAATATTAGTTAGTTATTTGTTATGATTAGTCTAGTAAAATTCTTACAAGTGTACGTTATTTCATTGGTTATTTTCTTTCTCTCAACTAGGAATATTTGTATATATAGACGTTCTTCGTACAGTAAAATCAATCAATGAAGAAAGCAAAAAAATTTCCAATTAAACTCTTAAATTTCTACAAACGGACTTTTCTTTTGAAAATATTGAGGCACTTAAGGTTGTTTGCTTTTGAGAATTGGAAGGTAAATGAGGAGGATCATGGAATTAAGCGTTGATAATGTACCGTGAGTTGTCTTAACTCTACAGAGAGAAAAGAAAAAGGGAAAGGAGCTGAGGGAGAGGGATCCAAAACAGAAAGGGAAGGACTTTTGATTGACCATCTCTACGGAAAGGGAGGGGAGAGCAGAAGGAGCAAGGATAGATTTGTATAGAAAGCAGCGGGTACGGGCACATCCACTACATTCGACCCGAGCTATACAACATAGTTAAATTTTTTTAGAAATAGCATATTCATACTAGGCAAAACTTATTGTTTCCACTAGAGAAAAATAAATAGTGGATGCAGTATCACTCCGTATAAAATCGCCTCAGAAGAAGAGCGCCAACTAAAATTAAATGACACAATCTTTTTTTATCACTATTGCTTTATGTGGAAGTATTCTTAAGAATGAGAAGCCTTTATCAATATGTCAACAAGTAGAGAATAGGTGACAATACTAGGAAAAGGTGAGGAATTCTGGCCATGAATGAGTAGGAACTATTGTCTTTTTTCTCAGGAGTGAAGGGAAAAGTTGAGGTTGAACTCTCTTGTTTAATATAGTATTATAGTGCAGATGGTTCTTGTTGATTCTTGCCAGGGTGATAAACTTATTCGTTGGCTATTGACAGATAAGATCGAATGTATATTTTCAATGCAAACTTGGCTCATTAGCAGTGCCTTTTAGGATTTATCCCCAACGGTGTGTAAGCTTCGCTATTAGTAATGTTCCCCTCCAGTTTGGTATGATAAAGGGTGAAAACCCACCGAATATTGCATAAACTTAGAGGGGAGTCATAGGATTCGAGACGTAGCTCCCATTGCATACATGATAGTCTGTCCCTTACAATGCATAACTCTAGGGTAACCCATTTGTATCCTTGTAAGGCCTCGAGTTAGAGACTACAGTTGGTGTGGTAACTCACTAGTTAACACAATGATTGTTACGCCTTGCTCCTAAGTCAGTTACATTCCCACTGTGCATAGTTTGCCTCCCAATGTGTCGAGACACCGAATCTCAGAAGCCATGTAGTGGTGTATAGGGTGCGACAGAGCACAATCTTGGTGTTTGTATGGGAACATTGTGGAAGGAGTGAATGAGAGTCTTTGAAATTTAGTTTATTTCTCTTGTATAATTCCTAGTGTTTTTTTTTCATTTCTTCCTCTTTGTCTCTTTAAATTTTGATTTTTCATGGCTGTTATGCTTATAAAGTATCATATATTTACCAACATGTTAAAAGGCAATGGTATCCCAAAGCTTTACTCCCGTTGGTCGCTCATTCCGTTCCCTGCATGTTTGTATCCCTCAATTAAGTGCTGCTTTTGTATGTCAATTTTATTACCCAAGAAAAATAAAGGTTAATCTGAGTTAATTTCTTATTATAGCGATTTACAAGTTACACCAAATGTTCAATTGCGAGTTAGATACGGAATAAAGGTTAAAATGATAAAATCAATGTTATGATCTAAATCTTTACTGTAGTAAACCTTTATTTCTTAAGGTTGAAAATTTACCATTGCCGTAATTGATTTCTCCAAGAAAAGAATAGTTTTTTCAAAATTGTTCAATTTACAGGAATGTTGCCCTACCAATGAATATTTTTCCTAAAGTATCTTTAAAATAGTCTAAAAATAGATTACTATCCAAAATTGAACTTCATAGGGGTTATGTTTCTTCTCGTAGGGCTTATGCCCCACAAATGCAGAGATACAATGCCTCCTGTTCTATCTTCACCATTTAAGAGGGGAAGGGAGAGAGGTGAACTAAATGTGAAGCATGTTCTGGTGGTTAATCAGAGAACTATTACATGCTGAGAACTATAAAAAAGCAACTAGAAGCTCATGCACATGTTCATGTCATAGCTACTAAGATAAAGTATATTGATATCTAGAAAATGCAAACCAAAAGCCTCTTATATTTACACATTTAAGCTATATAACATACTTCTGCTGGCCTGTACTTCTATAATCCATCAACAACATTGTTGGACCAATGAAGATTTCTTTAACGACCCAGTCCAATAGAAGACACCAGGAAGAACAATTGACACATGCTGCATATTCAATGACTCGAAATACTGAGAGAATGTAACATTTTTGTTTTCTTCCTTTCTGTTCCATCTCGTTCCTTTCCTTTGCATTCATTGCGTCCTTAGGTTTGTTCCCTCTTCAAAAGCTAATCCTTTGAGAAATCCATTGCCCTCCTCAAATTTTACCAGTTGATCTTCATATGGAAGTTCATTACTTGTTCCCACTAGTTCTTTTGCCTTCAAGGATGCTCCTTCCCAGTCAGTACCGTAAGTAACTATTAACATTGATATTACACATGCTACTTGAGCCGCTAGAAGCCCATAACAAAGACCCAAAAATCCTAGCTTCCAAACAAAGGCCAAAATAATGGCTACAGGTGTTCCCATCAGATAGAACGAGTAAAAGTTAATACCTGCACCAACACCAGGCCTAGCACTTCCCCGAAGCACCCCGCAACATGTAGTTTGTGGACAATTAGCTAGTTCACAAAGTCCAATAATGGGTAGAACGGTCCCTGTTAGCTCTAGCACTTCTCTATCTTTTGTAAAAACTTTTCCCCATGCTTCTCGCCCTAAGGTGGTGAGTAAGAATCCAAATGTTGAAGTCAAAAAAGCTAGTCCTATGGCTATCCCTGTTGCCAAGCGGGCCTTAGCTGGCCGTCCTGCTCCAAGTTCGTTTCCTACCCTGCTTGAGACTGAAGCACTTAGGGCTGAAGGCAATGTGTACATGAGAGATGTGGTTTGTATTACGATAGCAGATGCGGCAAGTGGAACTTCAGGTCTGTCAAGGTATCCGGCTAGAACTGTCATGAACTCATACCACCACCACTCTAAGCAAACTGCTAAACAACTAGGTATAGCAAGTTGAAGAAGCATTATCCATTGCTCTCCCACAGAAATGGAAGGAAGAGGTTTTAGATTTTCCGCTAGGGGTTTGGACAAAGGTCTGTTTTGGTCGTAAGTAAAGAATATCTTCTTTTGATTAAGACAAGTAAAGGATATATAGCCTAAAACGAAGAATAAGGTGATAAAGTTGGAGGCAAAGGTTGAAATTGCAATTCCTTGGATCCCAAGACCTCTAGTAAAGGTCAGGTAAACTGTGATAGGGAAATGCAATAGTGTTGCAAGTGAAGTACACCACAATAGAGGCCATGTTGTCCCTTTACACCGTAAGTAGATGCGTAAAGGGTGAAGAAGGCTGTTAGCAATAAGATCTGGGACAGCAAATCTGCAAAATACACTTGCTACGTGTATTATTTGTGTGTCTTGGCGTAGCTTTAGCATGAGAGGCTCAAAATTAAACCATAAGAAGGCAATAGGTATAGATGCAGTGAATAACATAAAGATTGTCCTTTGGAGGGCAAGAGACACTATGGTTAAGTTTCTTGATCCAAAAGCCTGGCTACAAAGTGGTTCCATCCCCAAGGCTAGGCCAGACAATACGGAGTAACCAGTAATATTGGTGAAGCCAATGGCCAGTGCACCACCTGCCAGCTCTAAGCTTCCAAGCCTTCCCATGCACACAACTAAAATCATGTTTTTCAAATAAGTCGCCAAGCCCATAGCAAGTATAGGAAAGCCTCTATCCATTATTTTCTTCAATTCCTCCATGACCTAGAAATTGTGGGGAAAAAAAATGTTATGGTGATTCATGCACATTTTTCTTGTCTATTCAAAGGTTCTAAAATATTCTGTAGTTTGTACCTCTGGTAATGCCGGGTGCTTTTTGGTCTGTTCTGCTTCCATCTTCTTTATTTTGCTTCTGCCTCTTTCCTCTTGTTTTCTTGTTTTGGAGCGTTATAGAGAGAGCTTAACTGTGTATAAATCCTCTTTCTGCATGCAGTTCTGTATCCATGCACAAATACAACCACTCACGTGTACTTATGTACTGTATATAGAGAGAGGGAGCACTAGAGAGAGAGAGAGAGAGAGAGAGAGAGAGGGAGAGGGAGAGGGAAGGAGATACTGAGAGACACTAACTTGAGTTTCCAGAAGCAATGATATTTATAGGGGCTGGAGGTTGATTTGTGAGTTACTGGTTGTTGAAAGCTTACAACTGGAGTAACTATGTAAGAAGCACAGTGAATGTCATTTACATTGAGATATAAGGAGTGTTCCCCTGTGCCAACTGCCATGACTACAGATATCCTCTTTCCAAAAATATAAGAACATATCCATTTCATAACAAATGTAATATCCACTTCCCCTCTTAAAGAACTATGCTTAAATGTTATATTACTGATATATTCTTGCCTGAAGATGTTTTGACATTGAACTATAAACATGGTTCACGTATCTTTTGTTAATTACAGGTTCTTTCTTGTTATTCTTTCACCTTTGTATTTCCACTTTCGCATTGTATGTTGAACTGGTCAAGGGGCTTAAACTTTAGGACCTTCGTCATATGCATTCAAGTTGTGCATTTTCATTATTACTTTTGGGACGAAGCCACTAAAGAGATTCAAATTAGCGTCTCTAAACCACTTAGGACTCAATCCGAGTCAAATGATAGGGATATTCCATATGTAAAGCATAAATATGATTATTTTTCTATTTGTATAGCATGTCTTATGAAAAGAAAATCTGAAGTTAATGGAGTATACTCCTAGTATTCTGATTTTCTTTCCAAAATTATTGTGAATTGCAACCTTTAGTACAATGGAGTACGAAGTGGCCTAACTATTATTATTCCTTTGATAATTAAAATTAGGTAATGCCTTTTCTCATGCTAATGATGGAATCTAAAGCTATTTAGTAGTGGTGGACCCAGGATTGAGCTCTTCTCACATGATAGTTGTTGTTTTTAGGCTAAGCAAAAACCTTCCAGTGATGTTTACATCAAAGTGTATTCTAGTGTATCCAAAAGATTTCAAGGCCAAACACCATTTTAAATAGTAGCACACCTCTTGTCCTGAAAAGTTAATACAACTGTCTTCTTTCAATTTCTTATCCTAATTTGAACATGCTTTCAGTTTCCCCGCCCACTTTGGTTTCCATAGCTCCTGCGTATAACAAAGTGTAACAACCTGCCTCCCCTTTGCTTAGTTAGTTATTTTTGGACTCTAGTTGTGTAAGGTTGTTTTCCTCTACTTCATTGTGTCTTTAGTAGGGGTTACATGCTTTTGTGCACCAGATGACGTGGAGCTCCGTGGTTTACTGTGCATTGTTGCTTTTGTTTTTGTACCTGTCTTATGTCTTCAATCCACTAAATTTTGCCCTGTACGACAGGTTACATGAGGGACATTTCACCTTATGTTGAATGCCTATCTTGTTCAAACCTCAGCAGTTACTAAGGAACATGCATTTGAATTGAGGAAAAAGAACAATTTGCATGTTTTCTATCTTCCAGATCAAAGCTCGCCATCTCCTTTTCACAAAATAGCATTAGGAAAAAGGTATTGTCCATAAATCTCTCTCTGGATTTGATAGATGCTCTTTCACCAGCGACCTAAAGTTTTCTTTACAGTGTTATTGTCCTCACTCCTCAGATCACTAAGGTATTGTAGGAGAAATTCTTTTTCAGGAAAAAAGGTATTCTAGGAGAAACCTCCTTTATCTCCACGTCTGTGTGGTAATATTGATTAAAATTAAGTCATTTGAATTGAAAGTAATGTTGTCAGATTGTGATGAAACCATGCATGTGCAGTTTGGTTGCACCTCTGGCAAATGACTACTTATCAATAATCATTGCACCTTCTTCTTAATAGTGACAACAAATTGCATTTCAAGCACCATTTCTTTCTCTCTCTCCATTTCATTAAAGATAAGAAGAGAATATTCATTTAGCACCAAAATATCATTTCCAACAGCTAGTATGGTATGGTTGTTGAAAGAAACCAGTACTGTCTTATACGGTGACTTCTTCTGCTTTTATGCTGCTAAATGCCTGCACATTTTGGTCCAGAAGTTTCAAGCATTGTATCATAAGAAGTCAAACAACCAACAACGTTTTGATAGGAGGATTTCCATCAATTTCATTTGTCTGAGAAGTTGAAAAACCCATAACGTTTTGATAGGAGGATTGATGTTCTGCACTAACCACCAAATGGGTCTTATGTTGCTTCTGTCCGAAAGTTTAAGCAACTATCTCTACAACTTATGCAAACGTTTTGACATTTGATCAATGCCTTTGTTCCTTGCCCCACAGATTCTTTGGTTGTCTTCTTTTTTCCGCCCTTTTTGACAAGAGAAAACAGAACTTGATTATGTTATCTAATCATAATAAACAAATTATAACCTATAGTTTGTGAATAAACTGTACATAATTAAAGTCAAATTAACAGCCAAAAGAGATTTTGTGGATCTTTGTGTCATAATCCTCTTCTATGGCCCATTGGGCATGATTTTTCTTACTAGATATAGCACTAATTTCCAGGCTATATTAGTCAAAACTTTCTCTCATTAGCGTTTCAAACCGCAAGTATAATCGTTATTTACAGCAAACATCTTTAAAATAGGAAATCTGTTAGTGGAAAGAATCTCCCATTACTAAGATTGCCCACATCATTTCGTCTCTTCACATCATGAAAGGGATATTGTTATCGTCAAAGCTTAAAAAGATAAATAAATTGACCATTATTGTTCAACTCTTTTCCCTGTACCACATCCTTGCTCATGAAAGGATTACGAGCATCTTGTACAACTATGAACACGTTCAAGAAAATGGACTGTCATGTTACATAATCAAGAGGTTTGACTTAAATTTTTGAAACTTTTACGTTGATAGTGACAAAATTCTTTTTTGGTATATACTTAAATCCTGAAATTGTAGATTATCTTAGGCTACTTTCTCCATATTTTATTTTGATCTGTGAATTTGCCACTTGATATTCCAATCACATCTTATCTTTGATATGATGTAAACGGAAGCCTAAAAATCAGTATTTTTGGTGTAGAATCAAGTTGCTTTTCAATAATATATCAAGAGTTTAAGACAGTGACAACTGGGTCTTTACGCCCAAAAAATTACCAAGAATACGGAATCTTTACAGATTACGAAATCCAAAAGTTGGCAAAGGGGTATGTGGAGTTGCATTCACCTCTAAGGGCTGAATTCGAAATATTTCTTCTTATTTTTCCTCTCTCTATTGCTTACGATAGTCCCACCTAAAAAACTTTCTATCAGAAATAAAAAAGTAAAAGTAAATTGTAGTTCGAGTGCAAGTAAAGTCGCCAAAGGCAGTGGTATCATTACCTTCCACCTGGCATTCATCTTATAGCTTGCTTTTCTTTTTTAGTTCTTAACTATCTGTATCTATATATATATTAAAGCAAGAAAGTTATCATATATAATTGACATTATTGTTAAGCCAAGTGGCAAGCTAATAAATATCAATAGTATATGATAACTTTATTTTATATTTGACCATTTTAGTTAAGAACACACACACACATATATATATATATATATATATATATATATATATATATACGGAATTTGAATTCTGAATTTATAGATAAAGTTCTAAAATTAGAATTTAATTAAAAATAAAATTTATCTTTTTTTATCATGCTATCATACTTAATTCGGTTAATGATCATATGTAATCATGTTAAGAACTTTTGTTATTTTTTCTAATTATTTATATACTACTTCGCCTTTAGCAAAAATAAAACTACTCCATATAACTATAAAACCCTTTCACATTTAAAATCCTATAAGTATAGTTCTTTGAAACACTGTAGCTAGATTTGAATAAAACGTAATTATTTTAAAATAAATATAATATATAAGGTACACATATATGTTTATCTAAATAACAAAAAAGAGTTTACAAAACCAAATAAAAGTTTACTTACATATATAATAGTATAAACATGCATGTTGTAGAAAGAAACATTACAAAATCAGTCAATATTAAAAAAAAAAATTGTTTCTCTTTTCTTCTTGAAGAATATTTCTTTGAAGAGTCAATTTGCATAAATGGACATCAAACAAATAACAAAACTTTGGCTATATACAATTGCTATCATTAATTTCAATTTAGCAAATTCAAGGAATTGAAGGGTATAAGTTGAAACCCTTCATTTAGATGTAATCAAGCCAATATTGCAAGAGTATAATATTTTTTTCGTTGAAGAATATTAGTTTTGAATCATTAGATTATGTGAAAGATTTTTTTTCCCAAACTCAACAAGAGAGAAATTCGTTTCTAATTGATAGGTTCGATAGCTACTTTTAAGTGTAACAAAGAGCATATATAAAGAAAAAATTGGTATGACGTGAACTATTTTTGTAAAAAATGAAAAAAAAAAATTATTCGAAAAAACTCTTTACTTTTTTTAATTCAAAGAAAATAAAAAGATAACATAATTTTGAACATTAGTAGAGAGTTTTAAAATTACTATAATAGAAGTTATATTAGGAATAAACTCAAAAACCGAAATCTTATGGAATATTTATATAATATCCGGCCATATTTATTGATTACTTCTTATAGCTAATATAAATAGATGATATACCGACAACACACGATTATACACATATTATATATAAATTACACATCATTCAATTTTTTAATTTAAGTGGTCGGGTGAGCACCCATTTAGGCTGATTAGATAAAGTCAAAAGAAAAATATGAAATAATTTCAACCAAAGACTAAAATATAATTAAAGTTCATATGTATACAATTTTTATTAAAACTCATCCTTTTATAGTAAAATAAATTAATTTTTTTGTAACAAAAGAAATAATGACATAAAACATAAGATAAAAGAAAATAAATATTGAAAAAAATGTTAGAAAGATCTATAAACGAGAAATAAAAGATGACAACAAATTTCTTCTTATGTTTCATCTTTGTTAAGTATAAAAAATGAAAGTTAATCTCATCGATTTCAAATATATTTTTTTCAACTCAATACATAGATTATAAGATAAGGATATCTTTGATTTTCTTTTTTAATTTACATTATGTATCTTTTTTAAAAAATCATTATTACTATCAAACTGATATGATATTCAAATTTGAATTGGAATGCAATTTGAGTAATCTGCATTGAGGTTAAGCCAAGTATGGTGTCAAAAATAAACTGCTTGACAATTTTAAGACGATATATGCAATGTTTTATAATAATAATCAACTAATTTAACATTTAATGATTCAAAGAACAAAATTTTTGTATATATAGGATATTAAAAATTCAAATTCTGGGGCTAGAGATATCGATAAACTTAAAGTGGAGTCATACTGAAATAAATCCAGCCAAAGAATCATTTAAATTTGTAGATAGCCGATTAAAGTGAATTTTAAATTAAGGATAATATTTCACTTGCATCATTATAAAGATAATCATTATTATAATATATATAAAGTTTTAGAAATTGAAATTTCAAAATAGAAATAATTTTTGAAAGATAATATCATACCAAATAAGAGTTCAAGTCGTAGTATAAGAGTCACGTCGTAATCAAAGAATCGTTTATATCGTGTCAACCTCTTTGCCACAAATATGAGTTATTATTTCACTTTGTGGCTATTTTTAGGTTTCAATGACACCTATGAGAATAGTGTAAAAATAAAATTATCACTACGAGAATTGAGAAAATGTTAGTCTTTTTTCATGTAGTGTTTCTTTATTAATATCTGACGGGTTATCTATAATTATTTAGAAGGTTTAAATGTTAAGGTTATTTACATGTAATTCAAATAACTCAGATATTTAATATGGTTAATGTCAAATATCAAAATGGAGTAAAAAAAAATTCACCAGCTAAATTTTTTTTTTTTATATTTTTAGATGGCCAACTAAAATGAGTTTTGAATTAAGAACAATATTTTCAATTACATTATTATAAAAATAATTATTATTGAAAAATAATAATTTAGAAACTAAAATTTTAAGAAAGAAATATTTTTTAAGAGATATCAACACACCAAATAAGAGTACAAGTAGTAGTAAAAGAGTTAAATCTTATTAAAAGAGTCATTCATTGTCTCAACATTTGATTGTTTTGCCAAATATAAGTTATTATTTTGCTTCCTGACTATATTTAGGATCCAATGACACCGGCAAGAATGGTATCAAAAAAGAAAAATAGAAGAAATGGTAATTTTTTTTATGTAGTTAATATCCAATGATTATCTATATTTACTAAGAAAGTGTAAATTTTAAGATTATTTACATACAATCCAAATAACTTAATTTATTTGACATGATTAGTGTCTGCACATCTACGCCGGTACTAATACTAGTATATATTAAAGCAAGAAAGTTTGATTGTGGTTAAGCCAAGTGGCTAATTATTAAGAAGCCACTTGGCAAACTTAGAGCAAAGAGATGATTAATTACTGAAATCAAATGGAAACAAATTAATTCAAATTTTGATTTACCTTTCTCCCCTTTAATAATTAATGGAAAGAAGGAGGAAAATTAATTGACGCAAGTAATCTTTAATCTAAATCCACGTCTTTTCTTAAGTAGTTCAAATCAAGTTTTACAGTGTAAAAATAAATGTAATAAACATATTAAATTGAAAAATAAGAAATTTTGAATTAAATAAAATAATTTGAATCTATATATCTATTAAAGAAATGATGTTTGCATTGTGGTTAAGCAAAGTGGCAAGCTATTATAAAGCCATTTGGCAATTTAGGTCAATATGTATAATAACATTTAATTTAAATTGAAAGGTAAGAATTTTTTTTAATTTAAATGGGAAGATAGTAAATAAGATTTTTCTAAAGATACGGCCTGCTGATA